AAAAAAAAAAAAAAGAAAAAAAATACTGTAACCCTTGTTATACCACACTTCTCTAATACTTACAGTCTTTTTCCTGGCAACAGTTCCTATCTGAACAAAGTTTTTTTTGTTTTGTTTTGTGTTTTGAGACAGGGTCTCACTCTGGCTAGAGTGCAGTGGTGTCATCATGGCTTACTGCAACCTCTAACTCCTGGGCTCAGGCAATCCTCATGCCTCAGCCTCCTGAGTAGCTGGGACTACAAGCATGTGCCACCAAATCCAGTTAATTTTTTTATTTTTGTAAAGAAGGGGTCTCACTATGTTGCTCAGGCTGGTCTTGAATTCCTGGACTGAAGCAATCCTCCCACCTTGGCCTCCCAAAGTGCGAGGACTATACCACCATGCCTGGCAACGAACAAATCTTTGATGACAGAAGGCAGTCAGAGAGACTAGAAAAAAGCTATCTCAGATGCTAGCTGGTTCAAGGGAAAATTCAGTTTCTAAGTGTCAGGTGTCAAAAAGGTCAGGAGAAATAGATACTGTGGTATTCAGTATGCACAGCAAATCCCTAAAATACTACCACAAATTTAAAAATAAATGATACAGAATATCATGATGATTTGAACTTACTTCTCTAGTTGAGGATTTGTGTAAAGAATATACTGCTGTTCTTGCCATTTCCAAAGCAGTCTTTAGAAAAGCCATATCTGTTCCTGTGATGAGTAGAAAAAAAGCTCTCATTTATATTACGTAACTCTCATTAAAATAGAAGATTAAATGAATAGGATTTAAAAAGATTTTCTTCCATCAAAACTAGCAGATTAAAAAAAAAGAAACATTTTCTTCCAAACTCCAAAATAGCCACTTTAAGTTCTTTCTGCAGTAAGACAGAGTACAAATAAATAAAACATCAGAATATTCTGTTAAGATTGATAGAATAAAACCAGAATTATACTGTCTTGATTAAACAGGCTAAAGTAAAAATTTTGGTATTATATTCCAACTTAATGACTTTCAAAAAGAGAAGGGAACACGTAGGGTAGTAATCAGAATCATCTTGGCAGGGGGAAGGTACTTTTTAAACTATATATGTCTTTTCCTCCTTTTATTGACTTTCTACCCTCCTTGCTCACAGAACACACAAAATTAATAGCCATAGTGAGTCACTGTTACTTATGGGCACATGTTGAAATGCTTGGGTCTGTTAAGGCATTAAAAACGGGTTCTTTCTCACTGCCAAATGTTTGGGGTAGAAAAAAAAAACAACAGGTTCTAAAGGTATAAAATCCTTTCTAAGTTTCATAATTATTCATAAGGATTAGGCAAATTATTCTTGAAAGCAACTGGGGTATAAGTAATAAAATAATAAATAAGACTATCTTTAATTACTTAATATAAATTTGTAAAAACAAAGGTTGAAAAATTCAATCACTAGCCATGCATTAAACAAATTGAAATTTAAATTGTAATAAGTTATAGGTAATAGACTGGTTTATTTAATGAACAGTGATAAAATCACTTAATCCAAAATAGTCAATGATAAAATAATTTTTAAAAGATGCTTTTCTACAAATACACCGTACACTTGATTCTTATTACCAACCTTTATTATTTTTGGTCCCAAAGGGAGGATTCATAATTACTGTATCAAATGACTTGGACATTCTGTTAGATAATGAGCACACATCACATTGAACCATGTCAACATTTGTTAACTCAAATCCTTCTACATTCCTATTAAATATTTCCAATGCATCTTCATCTATGTCAAATCCAACACACAACCTATAAATACAAAACATACACAAAGAGTGGCACCTTTAGCTCCCAAGTCAAAACAAAAACAAAACTAGCTATTTTACCATTTGCATTTTTAACCCAATTGGAAAACTAACAGTGAGTGTCGCTTTTCAATGGCATGATTTCCCAATCTAATAGAGATTGGAAACTAAGGTTTGTATATAGGGGACTGCTGCTGTTACCATTTTTATTTATTTATTTTTTATAGT